CTATTTGACTTGGTGAGTGGTGACTACCACCAAAGCAAAATGAAACATGCTGGCCTGCTTTACATACAGAATAAATTTTGAAGCATTTCTACTGTTACTTGTAACGATAATCAGATTTGATGAGAAAATATAGAGTCTGTCTGTGTGAAAATAAATTCAGTATAAACGTACAGTACATACCTTGATATACAGAGCAATCAGTCAATATCATTTCATATTCCAGGCAACACCATCGGTGTTCATTCAGTCGCATTTGAGGCCGAACAGCATCTGATATATACGAGGGTTGCCAAAGCGAACAAAACAATGTCACAAATATGAGCGCCATACCCTGACAAATTGATACAATATGATGACGAATGTTGCACAGTTTTGTGTACATGTGTGTTCACAGCTTATATCTGAAGTATTTTTCGTAAAATTTGTTAAAACTTTGAGAATAAATACATAAAGAATCAACAAAACATGTGTATTTTTAAGCAAGAAAATCGTAAGCGCCAGCGCTAATTGTAGTCAGCAACATAACGTTGTCGTTACTGCGCATGCGATAAATCTCCAAGAATCTTGGAGATTTCATCGTATTTTACCAGGGTCTTCCTCAGCTCACGCGCCACCACGAGGAAGACCCTGGGGACGAGGTTGGTGTTATATAAGCAATTGAGACATCCATGTACATAAGTAAAAATGTAGCTTCCGGCAGCTACTGTTAGCTACGTCACAAACGTAAACAAACGCTCGGAAATTTTTGCGACTTGTGGTATGGTTGGACGAAAATGGCTGTAATACAGTAAGTTCAAAAGTTCCTCTAAAAGTTCAAAATTTCGTCTACTTCAAGCTTACCGGTAATTTACAACAAAATTAATTTGCAACAGTTTTGCATTCGCGAACCGCATCATTTGGACAAATGAATTGCGAAACTATGAACAATATGTTTGAAAGATTTGATATTACCGTAATGACTTTTCCAGTTTTCAGAAACATTGCACTATCCTTGGATCCCTAGTTGTTACAAGCTGCCAACACGCATTCCCTTAGGGTATGTACATTAGTGAGGAAAGCAAATTCTGTTGGAAACTCTAGTTTTGGCAAATTTATAACGGAGAATTGGACATTGTGTCTATGAAAGTACTATGTTGTTGGGTCAAAGTTCACGGGTTCGAATCCCACCGTGGTCTGGCAAACTTTTCAGCTTGCCTGGTGTGGATGCACACTCAGAGTAACACTTCAAACATCATCTTAGAATATATTGATATCGAATGAACTAGACTCAGTTCCGAAATATGACCAACCAGAACCGACTTGACCTCGTAGCTCAGTTGGTAGAAAATTACCCTGGTTCCAGAGGTTTATTTTTAGTATTTTCATTGCGAAGGGGAGAGGTAAAATAAACCTCTGGTTGAAAGCGGCAATTGATTCATCGAGCCGCGCCAATCAGTTTGAATTAGGGTCAGATCCTGACTCTCTTGATTGGATGATTGCATTAAAGCTCTCTGATAGATTCAAATAAAACATCTATAACCAATCAGAGAGCTTTAATACAATCATCCAATCGGGAGACAGAGTCAGGATCTGACCCTAATTCAAACTGATTGGCGTGCCTCGATAGATCAATTGCCGCTTTCAACCAGAGGTTTATTTGAAACCTCTGGAACCAGGGTACGTGGTAGAACATTGGACTAGTATCTCAAAGATCGCAGGTTCGATTCCCACCGTGGTCAGGTAAATTTTTCAGCTTGCAATTGCCCGGTTTGGATGCACACTCAGAGTAACACCACAAACATCATATTCACCTGAGTACATAACACCAACACACACAAAATGTCTCTATTTTGCCAAATTTAACCTTCTTTTACTCGAAACCGGCTTGAAAATTTTGCATTTTCAGTCCTACGTCGTAATCTACTAAGTAAAATTTTAAAATTCTCAAATTATCGACTCTCAAGCCAAAATCAGAGGTGCGAACATATATATTCTTGCTCACCAATGTTTGGGCTGTAAGAAAATGCCAGTTGGCGGCTTGTAATAAAAAAAATGGCCCACAGTGTAACTTTCGGAGAGTTTGGCGGTCGTCCTTGTGAAGATCAAAGAACACCAACTCAACTATCACATAATTTCTTTTGTAAACTGGTATATAATTATAACTATGTCAAAAAAGTTTTTCTAGTATTATTACAAAACGCCCTGTTTATAGACAGGGTGAAACATGACTGATTTGCACTGGATAAAATAAGTGGGTAATTACAACAACAAAACAGTGCAAAATGAAAGTTCAAATTATAGCGTGCTCGTTCTCTACCAGAAATTTTGATGTTAATTAATCGGTTGTTATAAAAGTCACTGTGTTGATTAATCGTGTTCTTTTACAAAATTTGTTGCCTCGAAGCCTGCACCTGTTTGTGTTATTACTGTACCTCGAGAGATGATCCGCAAACTTTCAATTGATTTCGTATCCTTTCCATTTGACCATAACTGCTGCTTGTATCTTCACTGACCTGTCCAAAAAGTTTCAACCTGATATCAAGTGCCTGCTTACATGATTCCAGAGCAGAATCATTATTTTGCATTTCGTACTGGCATTCTGCAATGTAGTAGTAGCTGTCAGCGGACGCTGGGTGTTCCTTTCCATAGAGCGCCACGCTGATATCCAGGGCTTGCTGGTACCAATGCACAGCTGAATCGTACTCGTTCAAGAAATGCTTTGTCTTTCCAATCTTGAAACAAGTTTTGGAAACGTCTAGGTGGATTTTCCCATGAAGATTTTGTGTGATATCAAGAGCTTTCTTGAACGATTGCAGTGCAGACTCGTAATCTCCGTTCTCAAATTGAGCAAATCCAATGCTGTAATGGCTCTTGGCGGTATCTGAGTTGTGCCCATGAAGCTTCTCTCTGATGTCTAGTGCTTCCTTAAGAGATGTCAACGCAGCGTCATAATTCTTCTGTGCGCATAGAATTTCTCCAATGTGCCAGTACCTTTCGGCTGTATCTGGGTTTAACCGACCATATTCTTTTATATAATTATCAAGAGCAAGTTGCAGAGCTGCTGGACTCTCTTGCTTTATTCTAACTCCTGAGCTTTCAACGAGTAAGAGTAGTGGAAGGTATAGACGGTCGTTTTGTGCCTCAGCTTCGATTTCTTTCTGTAGCTTGGAAATTGGCAAACCAAGTTTGTACATTACCTCCTTCATGTCATAGCAATCCGCAATAAAGTAAATTAGAAAAGCAAGCATCACAATGAGTGGTTGAGTTAAAGCTTCAATGAGTGGTTGACTTGAATCCTCTTTCTCGTCAGCGTAAACATCCTTTTGTATACCTTTGAAGAAAGCACACAAGGATGGTCTGTCACGGCATTCAGTCAGAACAATGTTCCGGTAATAGGAAGACTTTTCCTGATGGGGAGTAATCAAAGCAAGAATCTGGGAGCATAAAACCTTAAGTACAGTATTTTCAGAACTCAACAGAGATATCCCCGTTCCGAGAGTTTCGCTTCATTTCGCTGCCGCTTTAGATATTAGCAAATGAACACCAAGGTAACACATTCGTTTTCCCATGACAACTTCTGAAATAAGGAGAGGATGTTGCTTCTCTATTTCTTCGGCCTCTTCTAGTAATGGCCTCGTCCTACTAGTTCCATCATGCCAGGTTATTCCATAAACAGCTTTAGCAATTAATAGTTGGTGGACAGCCCTAAATTTACGCTGCTCTTTTGCCTTGGCTATTGCTAAATTGTAAAATTTCTCAAATATCCATCGACGTTCAAGATAGAAAACGGTGCCCAAAAACATTTCCGCATCGGAAAGAACATCGAAAAGTGCGTCACAGACAGCCTCGTTTTGAACACCTTCCGAGAGAGTATGCACTATATTTTCTTTGTTTAATTCGAAATCGTGGAATGCGAGGAGGGAATTTCCAGCAAGAAATTGGTTGTTTAAATCTTCAAACAACTTGACGTAATAACTCAGGAATCGCTTTTGTGCTTCGCAAGCAATTTCTTTCATGACAACAGCTGCTTTTTCGGAACCAAATGAGTTGATCAGAGGGTGAAAAGAAAATAGCACTGCTTCGGAGGAATTTGCTTCAACCAAATATTTTGTCTTGAGCCCCAACAAAGTTTTTTTTGCTGTGTCTTCATCTCCTCCAATGACCTTTACTGCAGCTTGCTCGCCAAACACTTCACTGACAAAAACGGAAAGACAAACAAACGCTTCTTGCTCTTCTCGAGATAGTCTTTTGAAATAAGACTCGAACAAGACCTTTAAACGTTGATCATTGGGCGCATATCGATCATCTAACAAGTCTACTATCGGTTTTGAAGAACTGCTAAAGTGGTCAAGGAATTCAGATGCACTCTTGTTTTCGTCAACGATTTGACCGCACAAAAGCTTGATGGCAAGCGGGACGTCTCCACAAACCTCAGCTACTCTCCAGCATTCCCTTTCATCAGCATGAGGGACAAGTTCTTGAACAAGCATTTGTGACGATTTCCTGTCCAGCGATACAACACCGACAGACGTGTGACCAGCAAATTTTCTTCCCAGCACCGATTGAAGACTCGTCCTTGTGGTCAGTAGAAAGGACACATTCTTGCAAAGAGAAAATATCTTTTCCAGTAGGTCTAAAACATCTTGGCTCGTTTCACCACCACTCTCAAAAAGGACATCAGCGTTATCGAAGATGATGCAAATATTGGAGGGAATTGCATAATTTTGAACGCTCTCGCCCCATTACATCAGACGCATGTGCAAAGGTGTTTAAAAGGTCATAGATCAGCTCTTCTGCTGTCTTGACGCTTCTCAAAGAAAGGAAGTAAACTGGTAGTCCTAGCTGTCTAACTTGGTGTCCTACTGCAATAGCCAATGAGGTTTTGCCAAAACCAGGAGGTCCAGATACAGAGACTACTTGAGCAGATGTTGACGTCAACACACGCAAGATATCTTCGCATTCTTGTTGTCGACCAATGAAATGGGGCACCATGGGAGGAAGGCAAGGCTTGGGCACGGACTTGTCAAACACTGTGGTCAAATATGGAATATACGGTTAAATACTTAAATTGTAGCCGTTATTTGTAGTCTTAATTCGCACTGTAGACTAAGGGCGAAAGAGCAAAAAGCAGTGAAGCAATAGCTTGTTTTTGGTATTTTGGGGGGCATACGTCCCGGAGGTATGTAGATCACCAACTATAACATAGAGCCGAGTTATAGGCTGGATAACTGGACTCGGTAGCTCAGTTGGTTGGAGGGCTTTTCCAGATCCGCAGTTTCGATTCCTACCAGAGGGCAAATAGTTGTATTTTTCGCAGCTGCTCCTGATTAGATCTGAAATTGTGTATAATATTTTGCTCGAAATTTCCATGTACAAAAATTAAACCTTCAACTGTTAGACCTATCGGCCAGCAAATGCTATCAAACGCTGCATTACGTAATCATAGAATTGGGTAAAAATTCAGAACTTCATGTGGCACAAGAGCTGTTTGTTATTGGACAGTTTGAAGTTGAGGTATAATATTTAACAAATATAAAACATTTTCCGTGTTGATATACAGTTATATCAACACGAGTGGAAATTGGGAAAATGAGAAATTGCGTGGAGTTTCCCCAATTGGAGTTTTTCCAATTTCCACGAGTGTTGATATAACTGTACAGTATATCAATACGGAAAAAAGTTTTAAATTTGTTTCTTAATATAGCACAAAGAAACATAAAGAAAGAAATTTTCCGACGTTTCCGTGTTGACATTGAGTTATATCACCACGGCTCTTAACCAATCAGCGTTCAGAATTTACAAATGCTATATTATAAATTATATTATACCCCAACACAACTATAATAGCTTAACCATATTCTCGGTTAGTTTGATCATACTCCTGGCTAATTTAACCAGGATCCCTAGTTGATTTAACCAGGTTAATATATATGGTTGAATTAAGGTTACAGAACACCTTCGAGTGTTAATTTTGCCGAAAATTGTTTTAATTATTGGTTTCCATGAAAGCATTAGACTAGTTCTACTATCTGACCAAGTTTGGACGAAAAATGTTGAAAACTCGCAGAGTTATTTAATAAAATACATTTCGCTTGCAATAAGAAAAACATTGAAAATGTAATATTCAAATTCAATTTTCTCCCGAAGAATTTTACGGCAATTACTGATTTTTAAACGAGTTGTGCTCCTGCGGGTTTTAACGAATTTTTCTCAAATTTTCACAGGACATAGCTAAAGACGTCAGTTTCAAAATGGTGTTCGGCTTTGTTCTAATTTTGGATATTTTAATAATAAGGAGCAATTCACACAAACGATTCAGAAATATATTGCAGTCGTCAAAGAAATCGCCATATCAGCGGAATGACGAAATAAACAAAAATTTCCGAACACAGTTTTTTAGAACAACTATTTTACTGTATAAAAATGATATTTTCATAAATATATCTTAAAACCAGCAGGAACGTAACATAACTCAAAAGTGTAGAGGTACCGCGACTTAATATTTTCCTGAATAATTCTTACATTATTTTATTGTTTGTCAATTTTACAACTTTATCATATTTTGCATGCACTGGCTAACATTTGGTGAAAATTTGATGAAAATCGGACTGATTTTGAGCGCGCAGTAGCAATTTTCCACAAAACGCCAAAAAGGGTGTTCTGTAACCTTAACCAGGTTAATATATGGTTGAATTAACCAGGTTATGTTAGGCCCATTATTAACAAAGAATTCCTAGTTAATAATCGACCTAACATAATTTGGTTAGTTCAACCATATATAGCCTCGTTAAATGAAACAGGAATCCTGGCTAAACGATAGTGATCAAATTAACTAGCAATGTGGCTATTGTAACCAGGAAATTTAAACAGGGACATTAAGTTACCCCAAACAATATTAATTTCAGACTAACAAGGAAATTTTTAATCAGGGTGTTTTGTAGTCTATTATCCTCCATATATTGAGTAACCGTGTACGTACCTTGAATTTCGTCTGGGATATAAAATCTCTTGAGAACATGTTGAACGTAAGAAGCTGAAACTGCCGCACCAAATTGCCACCATCTCGAATTTTGAAATTCATCATTTTCCCATTTTACAAGAGATTTACAGGCCAGCCAGGGAACTCCAGAGTTCTGACAAGTTGCATATACACCTTGAAACGATAAAATTGACGTTATCGTTCGCTTTTTTGAGAAACATCGGAACTCGAATGCTTTTGTGTGTTGCACAGGAGAGCGTTAGCCCGAGGGTGACATTAACGCCTATAAGAAACGGACTAAAATTGATTCTGTTTGCATGAGGGGAAATTCCACAAGTCCAATTACAAAATATCAAATTAAACTCAGTGAAGACACATGCAAGAAAATATTATGAATGTTGAAGTGCGTATTCAAATTTCGCAAATGTCACAGAAGTTCGTTCGCCTCAAACTCAAATGTACTCAGAGAATGTTTCTGCAAGTTAAGTTTCTGACAAGCCTTGACTATCCACGTGTGTCCGTTTTGGTCATGCTTATGTAATGGCGAAACGGCAGTTATTCCAAGTTAGAAATAGAATTTACCTGCATGTCCTTAAGGCTCTTTTCTACTCATCGCAAAACCAACTCATAAGCTCGCTGCGAGTGATTGCATCTAATTAGAATAAACTTTCGAGCATTGTGATTGGATGAAAGTACTCGCAGCGAGCTTGCGAGTTGGTTTTTGGGATGAGTGGAAAAGAGCCTTTAGATTTTTATTATTTTTATAACTGTTTAGAACACGCGCCCTTATGAAAACATTTTTTTTTATTTTTCTTTCTTTTCAATAACAATGTAAATCGATTCTGGTTGATAAGCTACTAGAGGTGTGCAAATCCGATCCGAAACCAATCCGAATCCGATCCGATCGGATTCGTTCGGATTTCGGAACCAAAATATTCATTTCGGATCGGATCGGATTGATAAAGTTGTTACGTAGTCGGATCGGACTTCGATATCCGAAATAGAATGAATTAATTATCCACGCATTATCGCAAACATTTATTATCCATGTATTTATCAAAGCATTATCGCGGTTGTCGTTGCATTATTCGTTTGATACTTCAATTGGACGTCACTTTGTCAGCTTCTTGACATGTATTTCTTGCTTTTATATTTATTTGGTTAAATATTTCAACTTGAATGAGACATTTATTTTATTAAAGAATTCTTCGGATCGTATCGGATTGGAATTCTTTTTCAAAACTCGGATCGGATTCGGATTAGGCAATATCGGATCGGATTTTAAACATTAGGCAATTGTCGGATTATAAACGTCCAATCCGATCAGATGCACACCTCTATAAGCTACCGTGGGTCCGTGTTTACTGTAAATGTGATTAAATAAAATAAATAAATATAAATAATTAGTTGAGAATAAGTTCTCAAAATGCTATGCAATTAGTTCCGTCGTAGTCTTTTCATTAAAACCTGTCTATTTAATTATTCTTACTTCACAATCATTAGCAAAAAGGTTTCGTTTACTTTTCCTGTTTTACGAGGGAATAACTCCGATCGCTCGCATTAGTATACCTACGTTTTGCCGTCGTGTCTACTCCAATGGTTCCCGCCTTGAGTGAATCCCTCTTTATGTCGTCACCATCTTGTAAACCTGTCGTAAACTGACCAACATGTACTTTCGGAACTAACACATTTTCACAAGGACCAAACCACGCAAATTTCCCACGGTCGAACAAACGCACGAATCCCAAATTAGAGTCACACGTTGTACGATCAAAATTTGACAAACCGTCATCCTGTTGCCCGAGGAAGTAAACTTGTGATGACACCACGACATCACCAAGAGAATGTGCTTCTTTCCTTACACCATCGCATACTCCCAGAAAAACAATGGCTTTCGGTTTAAGTTGTTGGATTGTTTCATAAAGAAGAACGGTTTGGCTTGACGAAGTGTCGGTCTTGCCGAAGGATGGAACTTTCAAGAGCGTCACTTTATTACTACCTATTTCTCCAAAGCAACAGTTTTTGTCACCTTCGTCTTTCTTGCTTTGTATTTCGACATTATTTAATATTTTTTGCGCTTCATTAAACTCTATGTCGTTCACTGTCAGCAAAAGAACATCGTTAAAATCTTTGAATTCAGAGTCCGACGTCGCAGCACATTGAACTGAACAAAGAAACATGCGGACAGATAAGGAAATTATAATAATGAAAAATTAGATAGACAGACAGACGGACGGACGGAAGATGGATTTATTTTTATTTTCCGAGACAAAAGCATCTGTAAATTGAAGCCACAAAAGGGTATTAGTTGCTAGTCTGAATGACAATCCATACCAAAAGATCAGAGAAAAACTTTACTTGACTCATTTGCCGCGGCTGCGGATCGATCCCGCTGATCAACTGATCATTGCATGACCTGTGGGAATCACATAAATGAGGCTAAATGTCGAGCAGCTTTCCCACGGGAGAACAAGCGAACGCGAAAGGGAGGGGGCCGAAAAAGGCACTGCGGATATGCTATTCACAAATTTTTCAGACAACGCACGTTTTCAATTGGCTGGAAGATGAATTGATTGAGAAACTCGTCAAGTGGCAGACTCATGTACAGAGGATTGTTGAGACTAATATTTACGACAATTCTCATGGTTTCAATATTGTGAAAACTTGGTGACAGTTACGTTTGTAATTTCGCCATTAAAAAGCATTTTTGGAGAACAATTGAAGTATTTTTAATGACATTGGGGTTCCAGGGATGAAATTGTCCATCGACAATGGTTCGAACTCGATGCGTGATGCAGAGTACCACATATACTAGAAAATACATGCATGCAGAAACCCTCGCCTTGCTGACAAAACCATTGTATTTTCCGAACATGAAGTATCTAAAGTAGTTGTCATGGTAACATGGCCATGGTAATTTTTTAAGAATATTCTTACAAATAAGAAATCGCCTAAAAATATCACTTTTAGTTTGTTAATCGTTCATTGCAATCCGAGGGTGATACTTCTGTTAAGGTTATGCAATAGTTCCATACATTCAAGGTGTCACAGAGCCAATTAAGAGAATCTTAAGTAATTGTAATATTAAGGTTGCCTTAACCTATTTGACTTTAGGCCATATTTTCGCAAAGCCAAAAGATCCTGTTAAAACAAATCAGAAAACTCATGCTGTGTATTCTATACCATGCGGTGACTGCGAGAAAGACTATTTGGGTCAGTCTAAACGCCAGTTTTGTATACGGCTAAAAGAACATCAAAAGGCTGTTTCAACTTTAGACAAGGGAAAATCAGCTTTAGCCGAACATGTATGTCACACCAAACACGAGATTGCGTGGGAAAAGTCTAAAGAAATTACCCGAAACAATCGCTATGGTGAAAGACTTTGCCTAGAAGCGTGGCATATAAATATGAATAATTATGCTTTGAATAGGGATGACGGTGCCTATTTGCCAGAGGAATATATGCATCTCATTGGCAGGTGACGTCATCTCTTGGGTATTTAAGAAGCCACGATTGCAATTTTAGATCACCCCTGATGAAGACACTAGACTGGAGTGTCGAAATGTTGGGTCTTGATTACAATTCGACTGGGCTTTGTAATCATTTATATAAACCAAAGTAGCGAGCGAAACAATATCACTTTTAATTACAAAATTATCAATTTCCCAACATATATATGTTAGGTATGATATTATACGTAATATAGGCTAAGCTTCAATTTAATGCAAATTCCACAAACGCTTCGCAAAACGTTTTAAGTGCTCTTTATAAAACTAAACTGCCTTTAATTAAATGGCTTTATTGATAAACTTTGAGTTTGCAATAAAATGATTTCAAATTCTCGCATGCAAATAACTTTGCTTTTTTTATTTAAAAAATTCTATATAATAAAAAAGGGAATCAATATTAAAGATACACTGAAATTATATGCTGTCTTATTTAGTTGTTTCATATACACAATGCTAAAGGCCGTCGGGTTTTAAAGCAATTATAAAATCAATATTTAAAACAAATTTACCTTCGTTAACGTCGGCTCCCTTCTTTTAACCGATTCTTTCGCCTTTTCTTTCTTGAAATTTACAAAATCTTGCAAAAATGCGAGGAAAAATGAAATATACTTGCAAGAAATTTGAATATCAATCATCAAATCAAGAAATGTTTGCAATTTCGCTCTCGTCATGCAGTCGTTATAATGCAAACTTGAAATTGAACCAATCACAGTGTTCGCTATTCATGACAGTCCGCCATATTTTAGAGATCAGTGAGGATGACCACCGACGCACAGTGAGCCACGCCCGCGATCATTGGCGAACTTTAGACTTCGCTAATGCTTTTGTTTCCCCGGGTGTAAATAGCCGGGGGGAGTTAGTACCCTCGCACGACGCTTCGCGCCGTCGGCTCCGGGATTAGCATATATGCACGATTTTTGGACATGATAAGCGATGCATTTTTAACATTCGAAATAGGCTACTTTTATACCGTCCATTTTAAATATATTTTTGTTTGCATGTACTCTGTTTATATCCTTATGAATCGCTTAAGTTGAACGCGAAAAAATACAAGAATCTTATAGACGCCTTCCCCTGTTTACTTTACTGGCAGGCAAAAATAGCCAGGAGATTATACTTTATTGTTTTATGTATTGTCAGAAACCAGCACCTTAATTTTGCTATTTAGCTTTTGACAGTGAAAGCATGCTTACCACTCAACCGAAAATTTCCTTTGTCGAGTTCTTGGTTTTCCTTTGCCCCCTGGGTGGTGTGCCTAGCAGAATGACTAGTCTTTGTATTCCTGAAAAAGACCTATTATTTTGATGATGCTCGGCTTGCAGCTACAAGCTGTTTCAACAATCATCAACGACGAGACAACGACAACATGGAATGAAGAATCCTTTCTGGAGCGGGGCATATCAACTTACGAAGTCAAAAAACAACGGCTGGGGGAATTTGATGCTAAATTGACTGAAGGTATAATATTACGTAAACAGCATACCTGCGGCATCTTTTGTCTGTGTTAATACTCCTTTAATGCTATTCAGTCCTTGTTTCACTTCATTTATTTCATATTTCATTTCACACATTTCATGTTTCACCTCATTTTCAAGAAACAGATAAAAGTCATTTCTCAGCCGATTGATTCCCTCATTAAGTTTTTCTACTTCCTTTGTAGGAAAATCCGACTCTTTCAAGTTGCCAATCCTGTCCAGAGATGTCGTGCTAAAATTCAAAGCAATGAACGCACCTTTGGCGTGCTTTACGTAGTCATCGAAGGTGACTTTATTAATTTGGGGGTTGGATGTATGACAAAGAGTGTTTCGTAAAAGACGAAGCTGGTCAATGGCAAGTGAAATCGTCTCATTTACGTCTCCGCTTGAGCTCCTTACGGCAGAGTGTAATGGACCAGGGACTGGCTTTCGTCCTTTTAAATACAATTCTCCAAGCGTCTTCTTCTTTCCTGTGCTGTCAGGTAGCGCAAATGTTCTTGCATACAGAGTGGCTTGGAAAAGCGCAGTGCAGTCCCATTCTTTAAACGAGTCGTTCGTAGGGATTTTTGTGTTTGGAGCCTCATTTTTGTGTAGTATATTGCGTACAAGAGACGAGTCATCCCAAACTGTGGAACTTGGTGCAACTCTGGTGTCCCACATGTGCACAAAGATGCAACGCAAAGCATGTTGGAATTCCTTTAGGACAATCGACGCAAACTTGAAGTAGTTCAGCTCTTCATCAGAATACGGCTGTATAGACATTTAGGCTGAATTTCTGAGTAAAAATGACAGAGAAAAAAAACATGAAAAAACTGATGCAAGGAAAAGCATCAATAAGACACAAGTTCCCACAAAAAAGATCTGACTTGTAAATTTGAAGAGGTTACAGTTTACGACGCAATGTTTCGATCGGTTGGGTTGGGCAATATTTAACAAGTTGTATTATCATTAAAGCGACAATACTTGCGTTAATCCAAAGATAAAACATCTGATTCACGAAGGTATTGTTAAGTCTCACATTCTCAAATCGGAGTCTTTTAATTTTCGGTATAATATATCATTTGTAGACCTCCCGCTCGGGGGATTCCGCGGGATTCCGAGTGGGTTTGCCTCGAGCTCGAAATATTATCACTTTGGATCAGTATTTCGCCGAATCCCCCTCGCTCCAGGTCTATAAATGATAAATGTCGCATGATGCTGAATAAACATGTTGATCCCATTTGAACGTGTTGGCAGATACTGGAACTTGGAAGATGTTAGAGCCGCTTTCACTTTGTTGAATTTATAAAGTTTTCATTCACTTGGCGATTACACGTAATCTTTTATAGCATTTGATGATTGCACTACGGTCGCGTATTTATCGAACACGCTTTCCCAAAATTTCAAACAGTCGGTGCCAGTATAACTAGCGACGATCATGAAAAGCCAGCTCTGGTGTTAGAGAAATAGTACAATACCTGAAAAATATAAGCAGAACTTTGACGTTTCCAGCGAAGGTCTTTCGTTGCCAAGGCCCTCCATCAACGAATTGTCGATTCAAACATCGAAGTTCTGTTTCATATCCCAGGTAGTGAAATTTCTCTCACACCACACTAGCTGTCTTCCATATGAAAGTAATGAAACCAATCACTTCAATAAAAATACAATATTTGTAGAACTTACAATAAACGCGATAAACTTGTATCTGCAGAAAGTTCGTTATTCACTCAAAGATGCGGCATCATCCTAAATATTATTTACGAGTTCCGTTCACTAGCTGTATGGTTGGAATTTTCGACAAAGCGAAGCAACAGTTACAACACCCAAAAATTTCAATGACTGCACAGCAGGAGACTCGTGATACATTCTAATTTTATGTACATTTTGACTTTTGACTGCTATCATAAATAAATTCCAAACACTGTTATCAGTTGTTAATGATTATTTGAACCTGTTTTGAATTTCTCTTTTCGCTGCAGTCGCAAGACGGGAAATATAGATACAAGGTGGTCTCATCGTTTTCAAATGAAAGCAAGCCCCAAAATTTGATGGTTGTTTTTAATGATTATTTTCACCACTATGGCAACCTCCCACGCACCAAGTCACTTATCAGCCGAAACGATTGACCTACTCTTATGAAACCGTTTGTGGAATATTTCTCAACAACGACTGAATATAAGTAGAAGTACATCTTGTGAAGTACATAATATATCTTCCTTCCGTTTATCTAGATAGAGTGCCAGCCTGTCAAGAATGAAACCTTCAACAAAATTTTGTATGCATCGCCGCTTCCAGCGCTACGGAACTCCACCGTTTCAAAACATTTACTTAATCTAGACTGATTGCTGAATATATTTTGATTTTACACTTAAAAGTGCTGGCTAACTTTTCCGGGAGATCCTGCTCGCAGACTATTTTTACTGGAGCTCGGTGTCCGCAAAAATGTGAAGTCCTAATTATAGGCCAAAACTGTCTGTACCAGTGTAGGTAGTAGCAATGTGAAAATGCTGTGCTGAGTGGTTATATTACTACCTTAAAAAATAAGCAGAAACTCGACGTTTCGAGCGAAGGCCCTTCGTCAAGAGTTAGTAGCGAAATTATAGGCCCTTGTGTTCGTATAGTTATACCCTGACCGAAATATGCGTTTATGCCAAGGTTGGAGTTTTTGCATATTTCAGATTAAATAGATATTTGCATCTTTTTTAGTTTTTCTGATACGGAAATTCGTGTCGAAATCATCGTAGAAAGTAAATTGAATATGTTTTAAATTAATGTGTCCTTAATTTACGAAATTAATCGCATGCCTTTCAAGTGACAAGTATGTATGTATGTATAAGAATGTAAGAATTGCTAATGTCAAAGACTTTATAACCGAAACAATGTTCATGAAACGATAACATAAATCCCAGTGAAATTTGCTGGGCCGAAAGCCTAGTCTTAGTCGCGTTTAAAACACAATTCCAAACGAGGCCAGCATTATGATGCAACATATTAATCCAAAACTGTCGGATAATCAGTTGGCTTCATTTCAATACTATGTGTGGAAATGGCCGAAGTGGGTTTCCGACTCTATTGTTTGATACAATCTATTATTTATATGGAATAATTAAATTCTGTATTAGCAGACCTCAAAAAAAACACATCAAAACGCATTTTCGCCTGATCTCGCCTTTTTTGCGGCGAGCAAACATCATGCTCTGTGTTTTTTGCCCATGAAATGACATCATCAT